AAAAATATATATAAATATATATATATATATATATATATATATATATATATATAGACAGTGAATAAATTAAACAATGACGTAAGTAAAATCAATTGAAAAGCAAAGCATATAACAATAAAATAATATTAATAAAGTGATAAGATACATACATACACACATACCTACACACAATACATAATTATACATAATATACTAATATACACACATACATACACACACATACATATACACACCCATACACACATATGTATACACATACATAAATATATAGAAAAATTTGTAAATGGGATACTCTACCAGCCTTTACCTAAACATAATTTAGCAGAAACAAATTAGGAGTATTTAAATAAGTCTTAAAATTGATTAACTTATAAAATTTAATTGAAGTATGAACTAAATACTCAAGTTTATGAATATGACTAACAATACAGTATGCTGAGGTATTTCAATAAAGTTTGTTCATTTTAAGCGGTACTACTGTACTTTAAATAAATATATAATACATTTTGTTAACATTTTTACTTAATCAAATATTGCAGTCTATAATACTTTAATACAGTTTTCAAAATTATGCAATTTTAATTATAATTAATAATTGTTTTTTTGTAAGCCTAATGGTTTGAACTCCACGAGTTCGATTAACTTTACACCTAAGACGTGCACCTTACTGCTCAGCTACATTTCACCTGATATGTATAGCTGGTAATATTACACCCTATATACAACAATATCCAGCGGATCGAGCGCATCGACTATACAGAGATATGGGGAGGGTGTGTAATCTCATATTATCTTGTATATATTATTGTCACTATTAGCTTTTCCCACAACCGTGGAAAATTTGTTGATTTTGTTAGTTTTGCTTTCTTTTTTTCATTTTCTATGCTTGGATTGTCTTTAAACTTGATGCAAGCAAATAAAAGGACATGTAAAGATGTACCTAGTATAAAGATGAACCTAGTAAAAATGACTTTAAAATACAAGTAAATAAATGAATATGATTAAGATATTTTGATAAAACGTCATTTTTTGGCACATTAATTATATTTCTAAGGTAGGTGGTATGTCTCACTTTTCAATAATCCTCTAAGAGATTCATAAAATGTTTATATCCCAGATTTTTTGCAGACAGGCAGTTTCAAGACCCCAACGTTTTGACCTTCCCAAATATATCAACTATTAAGATGGGTCATTTTCTAAAATTAAATGGGCCTTTATTCCAGTAATAAGGCCTATGCTACCACACGCTGTATATCTCATGTCACACTTTCAACTAAAACATTGTAATGATACTTAAATATAATGATATAAATCGTTTATTGATAGACTTGGTTATATTTAAGTAGTTGGTGACAAAATATCGTAATAAGTGTTTATTTTTAGATATCGACGAATGCACCTTCGCCAATTGTCACAATTGTACCAATGCACCTGGTAGCTTTGAGTGTATTTGCAAAGAGGGGTATGAAGCATTCGATTTTTATAACTGTGAAGGTATTATTATGTATTATTATAATAAATTATTGTGATTAGTATTTGTAGTAATATTAGTACAATTATTATTAGCAACATTATTCAGCTTTGTAAAAGCAACTTAAAAATATTTTACAAATGATATTTAAGTGGTCTTATCTAAAAACTCAAACAATGATCGGCATTCTTAGTTTTAGAACCAGAAACAATTATGCGTTCTCAATACCTTACCACTACATCACCACACTCTAGTTCCATTTCGGTGCTATTTTTAGGCAAGACGTTATAAGGGCGTAATTGTGTGTATTTTTAGACATGTTAGTACTGTATACTTGCTTTAAGCAAATATACATTTTAGTATTTTGCGATGTAAAAATTACCTACAACCTATAAGTTGATCATGTATATAAACACTTTCTATTACTAAGTTTATGTACGTGATTTGAACAAACTAGACTGCGAAATATTTAACCAAGGTTCTTAAATGCTGATGGTGCATCAGTACATGTAACCTCAGTATCAGAACTGATCAAATATTGGAAAGAGACACGGGTTTTCAAAGCTGAGCTCAAACACAATACTATGCATAACTGGTCGCTGAAGATGTTCATTGGCGTTAAGTTGCCGGTAAAACAACTATGAGAGCTACTTCTTGCACTAAATCATTAATGTCATACTAATTAATAACTTCCAAAGATGGCGAAAAGTAGGAGTTACATTTTGATGCTTCTGAGTAAGAGAAACAAGCCTGGCCACAACATTCAGCTGAACCTGAAGTTTCCGAATAACTTTAATAGGAAGTCCATGAAAAACAATATTACAGTAATCGAGATGTGATGTTACTAAGGCATGAACTAGCTTTGACGTAGCATCAGCATTAAGGAAGCGTCTAACCTTAAATATAGTAATGACAAGGCTTATTACCATAGGTTCCTAACACCTCAATCTCCTACGTTCATTAATGAATATTCGACTACACTTACCATTATGGTTATACAAATTTTCTTTTCATATTTTGTAATAGATATTGATGAGTGTTTAGATGGTACAGCTGGATGTACCCAACGTTGTTCCAACACTGTTGGCAGTTTCATATGTGATTGCTATGACGGCTGGACATTAAATCCTGATGAAAAAAGCTGCACTGGTAAAATATATATATATATATTTCTGGCTGTTTACTTACGTTTACTTTTTAGCTGTTGCTTATCATTTTTGTATCTCTACTGAGATCCAGCCATTGTTTCCCACAGCATTGTTGTTTTCCAGTATTTTGCCTTTTAATCTATATATATATATATATATGTGTGTGTGTGTGTGTGTGTGTGTGTGTGTGTGTGTGTGTGTATGTATGTATGAAAAATACGATGAGATGAGGCCTATTTGTCTTAATTTTTTCAAACATCTTTGTTGGCTATATTAATTTTAAAATGGTTGTCATCAATAGAACTTACACAACTTTACTTCTATAGTACTGCTAATAATATGATACTGTAAAAATGTATTAAAATCAACAAAATTGATTAAAAATTTTTACTGATAGGCTCAAAAATTACTTTAAACTGAAGTAAATTATCGTTATAGATCTAGGTTCAATATTTTATTGTATTATACATCTGGTTATTTCTACCTGTAAAACTAATACTTGTCATAAATTATAATTACATTGTCACAGCCAATCCATGTGTTGACATTGGAGTACCTTTTGACGGAACACGCAACTGCACTGGTTTCACAACTGGAGAGTCATGCGTCTTCGAATGTGAATGGAACTATCGACTTTTGGGATCTAATAGGCGAGAGTGCTTACCTAACGCCGTTTGGGGAGGTCAATTAACACAATGTG